AACATTTGTTTCTTTTTAAATGTTGTAAGAAACATAGCATACAAAGCAACGAAATAAAACAGAGTAAGACATGGCTGTTGCAATTATAATAGGAAGGAAAAGAATGGATTAAGAACCAAAAAACGGAAGGATCACCACCAAAACTTCCTTAGGTAATGGTGTCACCATATGAAAAATACAAATTGTCATTTAGAATAAGGATTCTAGAATTCATACTAATTGTTTTTTAATTTCAAAGAGTTAATATTTTTAAACCCATTATAATGTCTATTATAAGATGAGAGAAGAAATAACTTAAAGTTTATCAGCAAATATTTTTATACAGACATCAGTTATCGCAAATTTCTTTTAGAAGATATTAGGTTTCCTGCTTGATCAAATAGGTTCTTTGAAAGTCAAAGACAGTCCTTCTAACTAGATACTGCTCCAGTCCTTGCAACTAAAGACATAGTGCTTTTTCCCGTTTCTCTTGCAGCATAAGAATGGCCATCTTCTTCCCCAGACTTGAATTCTATAAATATTTTTATTTTATCCATCTTGGAAGTTATGCTAAGCCTAATAAGACTTTGGCTTCCATTAAGAAATAATGGTGCTGGAAATATAATTGGAGAAAGTATAAGTGAGTTGCGGTCTATTGCAAAAAATTTGGTTTCTCTGCATTGAGGTCAAAAGTGGTTTCTGTAAAGGTTTGTGAGTATGCTAAAAATGATAATATTTTCTCGTTTATTTGAAATTTTGATTCGGAGATTGTTATAGTACACGGTACTTTCTAGTAGCTGGAATGCAAATTGGTGCAAAAATAAAGTGTAAGTATGAACCGTTTTCTGAGGATTAAATATTGAATCAAATTTATATTAGATAGTAGTTAGAATTTTCAGAATTAGGGAGTGAGAGCAAAAAATAAAATCTTGTAGTATTTGTTAAAGAGTAGCACGTAAAAAATATATTGAAAATGCAAGGAAAAAAAATTTAAAATTTTTTATAATTTTACTTTCTGAATATGACCACATGTATGAATTAAAAATCAGAAATAGCAGTTCCAAAATGGAAAAATATAACGTAGAGCTGTCTTTGTGGAAGTTATCGTAGAAAATGTTTTTCAATTCTGTAAATATTGGTATAGAACTCATAATTTTGAAATGGATATTATCTTTATTTGTGTTGTTCTGGCTTCCTATTGGTCTTGAAAACTATTTAAAGTGGTAGCATATTTACGCTAATGCTATAGTGACGCTTACCACTAACATTTGAGGCTCGAGGGAAATTTATTTACAAGTGGAAGTGAACTATAGCAAAACCAATATAGTTTCTATAAAACTTCTAGTCGGACTTAAAAGTAAGACAATTTCTCAAATTTACTTTTTACATATCTGTTTAAATTATTTATATGTGATGGTGAGCAAAATTCTTTTAACTCTGATTTATTAAAATATTGATTCTTCACTTTCGCTGCCAACTTGTACAGCCGATGAGAAATAATTTTCTTAGTGGTAGCAGCATTAGCGTTTTGGCGTATTAAATCCTGAAGTTTAAATTTTAAAAAGAAATAAAACAACCACGACGAATCAATAATTAAAAAAAAATATGTATATGAGATCTATAAGTTGGTTAGAGCCGCGATGGCTCAGGTGATACAGCTTTCGCCTTCCAATGAGGCAAACCGGGTCGAATCCCAGTCGATACGAATTCCGCACCCGGCGTGCATCGACCACAGTGCTGACGTAAAATATCCTCAGCGGTAGACGGATGATGGGTTAGAGTCCCCTTGCCGTTAGGCTAACTGTGAGAGATTTTCGTGGTTTTCCTAATCAAGCAAATGCGGGTTAGTTTAATCAAAAAGTCCTCCACGAAGGCAAATTTCTCCCAATACTCGATCCAGGAGTTCTCTTGTCTTCTGGATTGGGTTTAAAATTACAATGCTACGGAGTTAAACATTAGTAGCCGTAAACCCATAAAATTGGGTCGGCTGTTCAACGACGGTTATAAAATGAAATATAAAAGATATATTGGTTAGTTATGCTTATAGGTGTCCTAACAGTTTATTTTTAAAAAATTCTTCCAAACTAAAATGTTGTTTTAGTACCACTTTGTTAAATCTTTGTACAAGTCACACCAAGTACAATACTTTGTACATGATTGTACAAGTACTTTGCACAATCATGCACCAAGAACAATATTTCCTAAACTGAAATTTTGAAATCGTGGGAGGGTATGTAATGTAATAGGGAATTTTTTCTTCTAAATATCTGCTAGAGCGGTGGTGGTTCAGGGGATAGAGCACTCGCCTCCCAATGACGTGAACCGGGTCCGAATCACGGCAAGGTCTGGTTGATTCGAATTCTGCACCCAGCTTGCACCGACCACTGTACTGACGCAAAATATCCTCAGTGGTAGACGGATCATGGGTCAGAGTCCCCTTGCTATCAGACTAACCGTGGGAAGTTTTCCTCCTCACGTAACACAAGTGAGGGTTAGTTCCTTGAAAAAGTTCTCCACGAAGGCAAATTTCTCCCAATAGTTGATCCAGGAGTTTCCTTGTCTTTTGAATTGGGTTCAAAATTACAAGGAACAGTTGAACAAAATAAATATCTGCTTTTCACTCGCTAAGTTAAGCGGAACTTTTATAAGGATACATTTTCTTTAAAAAAAAATGTAATGGTGATCACAAAGATATTTAGATACTGACAGAAATCCTCTAAAATTCTTTTAGGCTCTTGGGAACCTTTTTAGACATTTCATTCCAAATACACTTATCAACATCCGACTTTTCATATCTCAATAATGAGAAAAGTACTGTTGTGAAAATAATAGTCATATACTAATATTTAAAACATTGATTATTTTCGTTTGTTAGCTGCCATTTAATTTTTTTAACAGAGTTCCTCTGATATTAGAAACTTTTTATAGTGGTAATAAAAATGAGATAAACCAAAATCATTTAATTGATTTTGACCAACGTTGCAAGTTATTTTGTTAAGAAAATACATTAATATGAAAGCTCAGTCCTACCATTAAACCTGCATGCTTTTCTTGCATTTGGTAGGGAATTTTTCTCAAATATTTAAAGTGATAAAAAATGTTTTACTTTAAAGTTTGAATTAAAATAATATTGATTACCACGAAAATTTAAATGTTTCTGTGGTGCATAAAAGGCCGAATAAGTGCGGTTTAATGCTTTAAAGTTCTGATGAAATTTTAAATGCATTTGCAGGCCTAGTTGTAATTTCACCATCACAAAAAATATCGTGAAGAGCAGAGCTCTCAAAGAACCTTAAAAAATATTCAGGTTTTAACCCACTCATCAAAACATTTTGAAGTTTTCTTAATTTCTCAACCACTTCAATTTAGATAATATTTTCCATGAATGTTTCAGACTTTTATACATCTAATAAGCTTCCAAATCCTGGTGGTAATCAAAAAGATTTAGCGACCCATTTTTAAAAAACAAGAAATATATATATTAGTACAAATTTTGCAACCACTTTAAATTTTTTGGTGCACCTTTGTGCGCCCTTGAAGTACTATAACTTCGGAATGGGCACCTTTGTACCAGGCATTTAAGCATTGAAATGGTGTCTAAAAATCGGAAATTCCTTCTAGCATTAATTTACCTTTATTACTACTGTTACATTTTTCTAAGACCCGTAGAAACCCTGAACAATAAAAAAAGAAAGAAAGAAAAACTCAATTTTAGTACCATTCTTGAAGTTTTGCACTACATCATCATTCATTCATGGGTAGGTTTCTAGCCCCATTTTCAGAGCTCTATCTCTAAACGACCATGGTAGAATTCCTACGTAATTTTGACCCTGGTGAAACGACATGGACATCACCTGAGCTGGTACCCACTTGTTCAACTTCCACACTACAACCAACAATCGACCACAATATTATATCATGTAAACAGCATAGGGGAAAATTAAATTAAGAAATTTTTCTACTCGTTTGTGGACAGTTGTAACATTTTTAACAATGGCCACTTTTTTTAAAAAATTTTAAACGATAGGACCATAGAGCTGAATTCATAAATAGAACCATAGAGCAGAATCAAAGTGATGTTTGATATGAACTTGATGTTTGATATGAATCATTTACATGTAATGTTGAGGAAAATAACTTTCTATTTACAAAACGAAGAATCGTACATTAAAACATAAACTTAGCTATCACTAGGATAAAATTTACTTAAAAGGGTAAAAAGTTGATATTAACAATGCAAAGCATTTCATTTGAAGTATTTTTCAAACTATGCTAAACATAACAAGATTAATTTCTAGAATTAAGAAAAAGTTTAAGAAATAAGTAAAAAAGGAAAGAAAGAGAAAGTAAATTCCAGAATATTATAAATTTTTCATAATAATTCCATATTTATTTTTTAAAAAAATAATAATTATAATGAAATTTGCATTTTAGACGAAAAAGTGGCCATCGGGTAGCAATAGGGAAATACACCCTTGTGCAAATTAATTGAAACAAACTTTTTTTTCGTGTTTTTTAAAGAAGATGTTTTGGGGTTGTTTCGGTTACAATGGGGTTGGACCTTTGCAGCCTATTGACGGTATGATGCGTTCTGAGCAGTACATTACAATGTAAAAACTTANAACCCAATTGACAATCTCTGGGCCATATGCAAGAATCGCCTATTAAATATGGACAGTACAACTATGGAGAAGCTAATCACGGCGTTAATTCATGTGTGGTATAAGGACACAAATATTATAAATGACGGTAAAAAATTAGTGGAATCCATGCCGAATCGTGTCCAAATGTTAATAAAGTGTCGTGGAGATCATATTTTGAACTAAAAATTTTTGGGTTTGTGTAAATTTAAATAAAATAGCATTTTCTCTTAGTTTTCTGAATTTATTGAGTTTCTTCAATTAATTTGCACAAGGGTGTAGTTTTTAAATCGCCATTTTTGTGGGCGGTGGCTGTTATTAACTGTTTCCTTTTGTAAACAGGTATATATTGTTCTTTCAAGATAAAATCTAATAATAAAATAATAATTCAACCAATTTTTATTATTTTTGAATTTTTTTTTTACAACCACCGGAACTTTACAATCACTGAAAAAAGCTTAAAATTTAGCAGCTATGGCTTATGTACTCAAAAAAAAAAAAAAAAAGAAATTTTCAAGTAAAAATGTACAAATATATACATAAATAATAAAATACAAAATTAGACTTATTCACGAATGTTGCACATGCATGCTGGGGAAAAATACAAATTACTAAGGAAGTTTTTACTAAAAACTTACTTCGATTAAAGAAAATTTTAATTAAAAATATTTCCTAGGATGCTACGAGTTTGAATTATTCGTTTTGAAAGATTATTTACAATTTTGCTAGCTAATGAAGGATTAACGTTAACGAATTCTTCCCATTCCTCAGTTGCTATTATTCGAGTAGCATTTTTAACGACGCATTCTTCAGCTTTTGATTTTAAATTTTCGGCATTGTGCAAGTCCGCAAATAAGAGAATTTCTAGAACTCTCTCTGACGACAATTTTCTGATCAAAAGCTTTTCGCACTCAACTTTTAATTTTTCCACGAAGTATTTCTCAGCAGCACTATACAGCTGAAAGGCAGATTCGCATTCCAAATCATCCAAAGTATCCGAATAAATAAACATTAACAGTCTATCCAATGTATTGGAGTCGATATCAGTTATGTGCACTACACCGTTTTTACTTTCGCACATGTCCTGTTCGAACATGGCTTGGAATACTGGTGATCGAGCTGATAAAACATTACGGTGTGCAGGGAATATTCCATCTCCAACACTTAGTTGAACATCAGTAAATTTTCTCTCCAAATACAAATGGCGCAAATCTTTTTTAAGATCTGCTGGAGTTGCATCCTGTTCTATTTCTTTGTCACGTGGCACTTGGTAAAGTTCCGTAATGCAAGACTCAGTCGTTCCATCAGAAATTGAAAGTTCTATTTGAAAAGTCAGCATACCATCGTTTTCATATAGCTTCCTGTCCTGAAGTAGCTTGCTTTTCGGCATCAGATTTAGAGTAACCTCGTTGGTAAACGTGTGTTCTACAGAAGTCTTGATAGCTTCTGTTGGTAATCCAACTCTATCTAACAGTGTCACCGAACATTTTAGAAAAAGGGGTTTCTTGTCACTTTTCCTCATCACCATAGTAACAAACCCATCTTCTTCTGTACGTCCGCTGAGATAGAACTCTATTTCGAACTTTAAACTTAAAGGAACATACACTCTTCTTCTATCATTTATATGACAGGAATCGAATTTTCGTATGTTCCATTGAAACAGGCACTTGTCAACAATGATCTCAGAAACTGCAATACACCTTGTGACGATGCTTTTTTTAGAGTTTTTAGCTTTTAATCGGCACTGAATGGTCAATGTATCGTTTGCTAAAAGCAATTCCCGTTCACTAAATAACCTTTCGAGGCTCATAAATTTGTTCGTTCCTTCGTTGTCTCCACGTTCCATGGGACGAGATCGAAAACGATCTTCAGCTACTCTAAACACTCCATTTGTGTCTACCAGTCCAATATCACCACTGACTTGAATGACTGTCGGGCCATCATCTTCTTCTGCTCTGAGCAAAAAACACGGAAATTCTCTTGATCGAAGTCCTTTCGGGTAGAATCTGAAGCGCCATTTTGTTCTATTCAGACTTTCTGCCAAAGTCCAAGGGCTGTACATAAATTCTCCACTTTTTAAGGAAATCGAGCTGAAGTTTTTTATATTCCATGTATAGACGAACTGATATGATTCAAGATCATCAACCATTGTGGCAATTTTAAATTAAAAAAGCAGATACTGAAAAAAAGAAGAATACTTTTAAATAATACGTGTAAACAGATTAATTGAGACAAATATGTACATATTTCGCAACGTTTCAGAAGAAAATGTTTCATTTAGTCGTGTATCTTAAGTTTTCAAATGATATCAGATTTGTTGTGCATTTTCTAAGATGACGTTTTTTTGGTGATTAGATAAAAGCTTTTTCTATCAAGTTTCCTTTTTGAGATAAACCAATGTATACTGCACTTAGCTCTTTACACAGTTGTTTCATTTAAACCTTTAAACAAGGTTCAAGTGATTTATCTGCAATATTGATTTGATTTTAAAATTTTCAATACTATTAATTTTAATATCAAATTTACATTTATATTTTAATTTTATAATTAAATAAAAATTATTTTCTATACCGACTTGTCAATAAAATTTTGAGATAGAATATATTTAATTGAATTTTGATTGTTAATTAATATTTTCACTGTACTTCTCATGTTAGAGAAATACTAAATTTATATCAAATTTTTTCTTGAATAGAGCATAGTAAATTCTTTTTGAACGAAATGCATATGTTGCAGTTACAAAAATAAAAGAACCTTTTATCTTAACTACTTAATAAATAACGTAAATATAGCAAAGAAAAAATATTGCGAAGCAAAAAACAAATAAAATTTTATTTCTTAATTTAACGAAAAAGTCTCACTTTGTGAGAATAAACACAAGAAAGGACTTCAACTAAAAGGAAGGAAAAAAAATGTTCTACTAATTCTTCCAAAAAACAAAGAGAAATCGTGAATCACCAATACAATATGTCCTTTTTTAATTTTTTGCTTTTGCCAACCTGGTTAAAAATGACTCGTCAATCATCAACAGCAATTTAAATTATGTTCTTTGTTGAGAATAATCGTCTGCTACTATCTCAATCTTCAACAGCATAAAAGCTGATTCCCTCGAAGGAGTTTACTTGTAGGTATTAAGTGGTAGCTATCTTAGTGCTTTTTCTGTTTCATTCTTGGATTTACTAATTGATTTTTAAATACAAATAAATTAAATACAATATATATATATATATATATATATATTGTATTTAATTTATTTGTATTTAAANTATATATATATATATATGAAGGGCCAAGGCCATCCCAGTTTTCCTGACCTTGGGCTCTGAGGTGCAGACGCAAATGTACCGGTTGACTGGTCAGCCGAAAGCAGTCTCCAAGCATGGTATATTCATTTTAAATAAAATTTAAGAAGTTAAAAATATAGGGAAAAAAAGTAAGAAATATAGAGAAAGCGGAATTACTTGGAATTCTAATGTTCTAAAAACATGTATTTAAATACTATTTTCAATCAAATGAATAGAATAAAAGAATATGTAGTAATGTTCATTTATCCAAAAAACAAACTCGTTCAAAATTTGATAAAAAAAAACAACGGATACCCAACTAAGGTAATTATTTTCAATATAAAATCATTGAGTTAATTGTATGTTATTGTTGATAAATTTTTTAAAAACTTATTTATATTAAAACTAATTTATATTTTTACCATGTGTAAATATAATTCTGACATATCCACGGCTGAAAATCTGGGCAAAACGGGTTAATCATGTTTTTGTCTCTCTTCTTTCTTTTTTTTTTTTTTTAATAAATGTTAATTCTAAAATTATTAAAATTTGATCATTAAATATCAACCCTATAAATTATAAACTTTAAATCATCCAGTATAATATTATTACCTTGCGCACATCATTTTCGGGCCAATCCTTGGTAACTAACAAATCAAACTTGCTTCACAGTACTGCAGTAAGAACGCAACGTAAAAAATCCTTCTACGCTTCTAACTCCGTTTGGGCTTCACTTTTCATATTTTGCAATCTGGAAATGTTGTTGTGGTTGTTGTTCATTTACGTCGCACTAAAGCTGCACAATGGACTATTGGCGACGGTTTGGGAAACATCCCTGAGGATGATTCGAAGACATGCCATCACAATTTTGATCCTCTGCAGAGGGGATGGCACCTCCGCTTCGGTAGTTCGACGACCTGTCGAGCACTTTGCCGTAAAATAGTTTAACGAGGACCAATACCGCACACTTTCGGTCCCTCCGCAGATTGATCCAAGTGGTCACCCACCCGCACACTGACCGCAGCCAGTGATGCTTGACTGCGGTGATCTGCTGGGAACGGTCGTTTAACGATCAGTCCACTGCGGGACGTCTGCAAATGTTATTACAAAAATATTTTAAATCATTCATGAAAGATTCCGGTACGAATAAGTTCATTTGAATTCGCAACTCGCTTTACAGATTTCGTTATGTTATGTATTTTCTTTACATTTTGTTTTCTGTTTTTTGCTTGATATATTTTTCCTTTAATGTGTTCTATTTTGGTTTCAATTTTTTTGAGTGTTCCTCACACCAGTTCCGGGCCCCCAATGATTAGAGGCCTCCTTAAAATGGATTTTTTGAAAATAAATTTTAAAAAATTTAGAAAAACAATGATTTTTTTTTTGATTTTTTGAAATCAATTTCAAATATATATTTAAATTTTTTCAAAATTTTATGATTATTTTTTGGTTCTAATTTAACAAAAGAAAGTAAAATTTAATTTATTATTATTTATTTTAATTTTAAATATGCTTTCCTAAATGAAAAGATGTATAAATACTTTTATATTTGAATAAATAAAAAATATACGAGAAAAACAGCTTAAACGAAGGGCCCCAAAAATTTGAATGGCCTAGGGCTCCGGGTATGCTCAATCTGGCCCTGCCTCACACTATTGTATTCATATATTTTGCTTTCACTATATCGATACAATATTAGAAAGCACTCCTTTTTGCTGATATAATCATATGAGCTGATGAGGAGATTATATCTTTTCATTATTTTGTTTCACGGTTTTTTAATATATATATTTTTTAATTTTTTAAAAAAAAATACTTTTTTAAATATTTTATTTTAATTATTTTTTTTCTCTTTTCATAAATCTTTATTATTTTACATGTTTTCTCAATATTTTTAACTCAATTTATGAGTTCTATATATTTGCAGCTTATGCGCGGCAAAAACACACCACACCCTCACACACATATATATGTGCAAGTGTATATATATATATATTGTAAAGCTAAATATGTAGGTAACAGAAATAAATATCTATTTGGTATGAACTAATATTAACTACCACTTTTTTCATTTCTTGAAAAATGGGAACCATCATTTTGAAAAAAAATTATTCTTCAACAAATAATGAAGCGAAGAATTTGTTACCGCTTTAAAAAATTAGAACTAATTAACCATGCAAAAAAAAAATTTTTTTTTGAATATAAAATATCTTAATCTAATCTTAGTACCAAATGCATAAAAAATCCGTGCAGAATAATGATTTCTAATTTTCTTCTTAGTTTCATGGGAGACTAAAAATTACAAAAAATTGTGGCTAATAAGAAAGCCAAAATCTATTAAACAAGATCAGCAATCTTTTTCCGTCATATTTCTTGCAATTTATTTGTGAAGATGATCTCTAAGAATGCTTTCGTTTGAAATGTGAATAATTTATACTGCATGTCATGGTGTTAGTAATGATTGAAGAATAATTCAAATGAATTGAGCTTCTATCACTTCTTACATTTTTAGTTGTCCGTGGCATCCCTTTTTTCAACTGTACAATTGCCCACCAGCAGTTGCGAGTTTTGTAAAATATTGCTTTTTGTTACATTAAACCAAATCCATAATAACCAACTTCCACGGCCGTTGAGAAATAATTTTTTTATTGGTAGCAACATCAGCGTAGATCTTGAAGTTTAAAGCTTTAAAATTTTTTTAAACTACCACGTCTAAGGTTCCTATATTATGATTTTTCGAAAAACTAAACTGTTAAGGCTCCTATACTCTAATTCAGGGGCTCCAACAACGTCCAATCAATAATTAAAAACAATAGGTAGATAAGATTTATTTGTTGAAGAATTATGCTTATAGCTGCCTTAACAGTTTAGTTTTTTCGAAAAATCTTCCAAACGTAATTATTGTTTTACTAAATTTTCAATATCCTGATAATATCAGTTTTAAACAATAAAAATTAAAAACAAAATCTCGAAATGAACTCGGAACCTTTCATAATAGTAGGCGGTAAAAATTTTAAAATTATTTTCCTCTCAGTCGTGATCGTAAGATAAGAGAGAAAACTCATCCCAATGCTCCATTACGTGCTTTACTACTTCCTCACGCACCTCTCTAGCCATAACTTGAGTATCGTTTAATATACATATATGCTATTGCTCGAAAAAGGCAAGCTTTGTCACTAATAACTGGTATGAAATAATGGGGCAGCATGGTTATTTTCGAAAAGATCAAAAATAAATGTAAAAGATTACTTCAACTATTTTAAATAAATGCTTAACGTATAATTAACTATTCAACAATACTTAAACTATCACTTGAGATTATTTAACAAAATGAATCTATAATTAATTGTTATATAATTGACGTATAATTAATTGTTTTCGGTTAAAACTACTTAAATTATTACTTAAGACAAACAAAAGATATTAAAATTTTAATTTTTTTTCATATTATAAATTTAATTGTTCTTTATTAAATTATTCATAATAATTACAATTCCTGTCAATATAATTTGTATTTGTTTATTGTCTGCTCTTTTAACTAGCTTATAATTATAGCATTAATATAACAAGTTGAGGAATATTACACATAGTACTTAGTCTAAATAATGTTTAAAGGAAAAGTTTGCCTCGAGTACAAGTATCGGAATAACTTCATAAAGTACTTAAACAAAGTTACTTAAAGAATATAAAAACAATGATAATTATTGCTGTTTTTACTTTTTATCTTTAGAAATACTAAAAATTATCGTCTGTATGGAGTATAATTATATGTCACTAGAAACTTTTTATAAGAACATGTAAGGATATTGAAAAGGTCATAAAGGAAAAATTATTCTCAAGCAGAATTTTAAAGTTGTTTTTAAATCTTTTACTGCTGATTACGGAAGTGCATTACATCGGGATGAGTTAACTTCGAAACATATTTAATTTGTGGGTAATTCACATAGTAAGATCAGAAGTTATTAAACCAGAATAACACATTTAATATATTTATAAACATGTTAATATATGTGTGTGTGCGTGAGAAACAGATAGATTCATTTTTATATATATATAGATTAGTATATATTTTTATATATATATATA